ACGCTCGTACCAACTGAGCTAAAGAAGCTCTATGCCTGACTGCCAGCTTATGCATACATATGTTTGTTTGTCTCTTCGCATTCATTCTTTGACGCAGTGGCCACATTCAGACGAACTTGGATCGAAGGGTTATGATTGCATCTATTGAGGTCGGGGCAGGAGGGTGGCGTGGGCCTTATCAAGGGCGTACTGGGATCGGGTGCGGCGACGCTGGATGAACCAGAGCACCAAGTCGAGCATCACGATCCACCACACCCGGTGCATTGAGCTGCCCCGCTCCAGCACCAGCAACGACCTCGCCTCATTCGACACATCGGTTGTGCTCGCAACAGGCGCTGTTGTCGCTACGGGCGTAACGCTCTGTGTCGACAGAGAAAAATTTGACGTGGGCGATGAGAAGGAGCCGAACATCGCGCTCGAAGAAGGTGTCGGCGTAACCAGACTTGACCTCGTCGACGGTGTACTTGTCCAAGTCGGCGCGAGTGATTCGGAAGAGCTCGAGCGGGAGGGGGCCGGGGCTGGAGGAAAGAAGTCGGCCTGACGACGAACGAGTCGTGTCATGGAAAGCGTGCCTGTTGGCAGAGCCGTCGAATCCGCCGACGTGGCATTGCTAGCATGCCCCGCACGTCGAACGCTGCTCGTCGCCACAGCAAGACTACTGGCCACAGAGACACCACTCGCGCTCGTACTGGCTGTATCTGTCGACACCAGCGCCGACGAAGCAACGCCGACCGGTCCCTGGGCGAACTTTGAGTTGAGCACGACGGCGATGCCCACCATCCCAAGTGCCGCCAGAAGCAGCAGCGGTACGAAGACGCGCTTTGCGCTGCGACACGCGCGTGCCACCGGCAGCTGCCCATCACCCACCGACCCAGCTACACCTTGGTCGACGGACGGAGCAGTGTATCCGGGAGGATCGATCTTACCGTCTTCAGGCGTGGTTTTAGGTTCGACGAGCGTCGCTGTGCTCTCGTTCTGCATTGGCAGAGACTGCGCCAAAGGAGGTTTGGATTTGGCCGCGAACGAGGGGAAGAGGACAGCGATCTCGGCGCCGATATGCAGCAGCAGCGCTACAAGGTGCACCAGCACAACGCCCGCCATTACCGCGCCCATCCAGATCGGCAAAGTGGTCGGCAGCATCCTCGGTCCGCTACTGGGCGCAAGCAGCAGCCCCGCCCCGCTTGACGGCTGAAAGAAACTCGCATTTCCAGCCGGCTGAGCCTCGAGCATCTTGGCCGCGAACGTCGAGTTTTGCACGGGGAAGAGCTGGTCGATCTGGTCTTGAAAGCGTGCGAGCGCATCGAGTGGATCCGAGTAGTCGGGTCTTAGCGTCCACGCGAGTGTCGTGCATCGCGTCGTCGTGGGCAGCTTGCCGAGCCACGCGTCAAGTTGGTGCTGCGCAATCACCGTCGAGTTGGAAAGCACTGGTGCAGCCGTGTTGTCGAGACGAGGGATCGAGACGCACGCCGATAGCGGACCAAGCGTGACCAGGGTGAGTGCTGTGTCGCTGGTGTTGCTGACCATGAGCGATGTCGCCGGTACGGTAGGCGACGTTCCTACGTACGGCGAGGCTTGACCAGTCGCATTGGCAGACGTTGCATTGGACGAAGGCATGCCGTTTGCAGATACGGAAGCCATGTCGGATCGAAGTGAGACGAGATACGCTTTGAGCGAGTCTGGATCTGGGGATCAGGAACGTGCATCCGTACTTATACCTCGTGCGCAGAGTTGGCTGTCCAGGCAGGGCTTGCGGACAAAGGGAAGGCGCAAGGCGCAAGCCTGCATGCGCACAAAGGGGCATTCGTAAAATGAGTTGGTGGATGCATATCCGGCATGCGTTGCAGTATCCATTCACGACGCACAAAGGGACTGTTTCGCAAAAGACGGAGCATTGCGATATCGACGTGTTGGTGGGGGACAGGACAAAGGGAAACGTGTGGTGACGCGTGGTGGGGCCACTCCCTTTCTTCCTCTGCCCCCTATGTTGTTGTGTCGATGGCCGCATTTGATACGCAGCTGCGACTCGTTGGCAAGTCGCACTACTCTGAGATCAAGTATAAGAGGCCCGCGAGTCGGTCGGTAGCTCCTTCTGCCTCGGAGTCGACGTTCTGCAAAGTTTCTTCTCTTTAATCGCGCGATGCTGATGGCGTTACGAAACAGTTCGGTGGTGACGGGGAAGGATCGCATCGTGGCATGGCTGCTACTGCTGCTGCATGCGCTTGCGCTGGTCATCTCGGTGCTGCTGCTGCTCAGCCCGAACAAGCTATTCAACAAACACAGCGGACTGGCCACGGTGTCGCTCAACAGCACACTGCTCGTGTCGCCGCTGTCAAATGGATGGCAGGCTGCAGACTCTCCCTCCAGCTCGACCAATCTGACCGCACCAAGCGCAGCATAGGCAGCACCTCCAAAAGGCCCTCGACCATGGAGCCGGCTTTCGTTGCGGTTCGCGCGGTCCACGGCGTTTCACCGAGTCCTCAAGGCTCTCGGCAACTCAAACATGTCGTCAGAACACGGACAGTCGAAAACAAGCGGATCGACGCCAACCAAGAGGGGCCCTATCGATAGCGTTTGCCCTCCGCAACACTGCCACCACGCATCAGCTCGGTTCTTGCGACTACTCCTGATCCACGCCTAGTCTGCATTTGATCATGTGTGGCTCGGCATGCACTGCTGTGTGGATTTTTCCGCTGTACTGTGGGCTCAAAAGCTCGGCAGATGAGAGATCGGAGGCGATGCGAAACAATGATCAAGCGATTGTGGGCGTGTGGACTGCGATGATGGCTCCGGAGGTTACATCTCGAGAGGATGGGCAGAGCAGCGGCGGCGGCGGAAGTTATGGTGCCAAAAACGGGCCAATCGTGCTTTGTTACAACTTCCGAAAATCGGCCAGAAAAATGGCCGTCGGAATTGAGCCGCCGCCAGCTTCTCTCGGCAGCGGCGACAGGGGGTCATGTGGCTCGGGACCTGCTCCTCGCCACTCTGCACGGCAGTCCCGACCTCTCCAATCCAATCCAATCCGCGCTTTGGAGGGTTCGAGCATCGTCACATCGAGCACCTCAATATGAGGAGAGGCGGTTCGAGCTTCGGGGCGTGGGTTCATCAGTCGGACATTCCCACGCGTTGGCGGCGACTTGAGGCATCATGCAGCTCTTTAGCGCCCGCCCTGCCGTCGCGTGGGCCGCACGCTATCTCCACGCGGTCGCATTTGGCACTTCTGGATGCGCTTCTGCTCGCTCGCTTAGGCTGACGCTCCCTGCACGGTGATCTGCCAACACGATTGGTCTCAGATGCATGCTACTGGTACCGCCCTCTACCGTAGCTCGCCTTCATTGTGATGAACTACGTCCACAAAGGCTGTGCTGTCCGGCGCTTTCCGGTGCAAACACCTTTTTCTCTTTCTCTTGGGGACGTCGGAGCATCAAAGAGCGCTGTCGGAACTGCAAAACGCGGCTTCGGTGCAGCCGCATGTCTATGCGAAACACTCCTACCCCACACGACCAACCAAGGCCTGAGATCTGCAACCAAAGCCCTTCGACGCTGCCCGACTCTTGACTGACTGACTGACTGACTGACTGACTGATAAGCCGCAGTGTGATGGGCGTTGGCTTGCCCCTGCCTCTCGACCTGCCGGATCTCATTTCGTCGGTGTGACTTGCTTCTGCCATTCTTTCTCTCTCTTCCATCGGCGTACCCATCCGTCTAGACACCCATCCGCTGCGCCTGTGATCTCAGCCAATCCCCCTCCCTCTTTACCACCTGCATCTCGTCGCGCTTCCGAGTCTGCATCCAATGTGACGCCGCCCGACACTGCTCAAAGCATCAGTCTGGGCACTCGCCTCTACCCACGAGAGCCATGGCGGCCACAGAGGGCAGCAGCAAGGAGAGCATCGTCGCCGCAGCAGCTCGCCATGACCAAGATGCAATCTGCCCAATACAGCCTCCCACCTACTACGACGCTGCAGCATCATCCAGCTGCCATACCAAACATTTCCAGCCAAATTGTCTCGCCATAGACTCGGCGCCTTCCGTTTGCCGTGTTTCATGCTCGCCGCCCAACGATGCGAGTCGAGCAACAAGATGCACGCATCGGCTCGCCCAATTCTTTACCATTCCCCTCCCGCTCGCACTCGTCGTCGGCGTCGTCACCGCCGACATGTCGAACCTCGAGTTCGTCCATCTGGTGCACAGCAAAGTGGACGTACCTATGGACCAGTGGACGCAGCCGTCCGACGACGTGCTCAACGCCAACAAGCTGCAATGGACGTTTCTCCAGTCCGCTTACCTCCTGCCGCTCATGCTCTTCGCCGGACCCCTGCTCATTCTCCAGTTCGTCTTGCTCGTCGGCAGACTTCGAGCCGCCCGCGTCGTCGATGGTCTCAACGTCTTGCTCGGATTGACCGTGCTCGTGGTCGGCACAATGACTCTGCTCACGGCCTTTGTCGGCACTTCTGTCGTAGGCGTCATCTTTACCCGCATGGCAGCGGGCAGCGTCGTCTGCAGCGCGCTCGGTCTCGTCACTCAGGCCGTCGAGCTGTTCCCAGCTTCCGATGACCAAAGACATAATGGACATGGCTGCAGTTCTTGCCGTCCTCGCCCTCCCGCTGCGGGCTTCTCGATCGTGCTCTTCGGCAGTATCTATGGCCTCGGCAGCTCCTTTGCTTCCTGCTCGGTGTTTGCCGGCTACCAGCTGGCCACGCTGCTTCAGCGCAGCGGCGTGTCTTTTGACGGCACCGGCACAGGTCCCTCTCAAGGCTTCCGCACCCTCTTCATGCTCGAGGGTCTCTTCATTGTGGCGCTGGCGCCGCTCATCGTCCTGCTTCTTCATCTCTCGCGTCGCTGGCGACCACAACAACGCGCCTACAACTCGGTTGAGCTCACATGGTCGAAACAAGATGCCGCAGCACCAGGGTCGCAATCCAACCAGCAAGGCTACGAACTAGCCGACGTCTCGCTCGCTCTCACCGTCGAGTCCAAACACGCGAGCGGGCACACAGATGTTCCGAATGTCTCGGCCAAAATACAGGACCACGCTCCCGACATCGAGGTCGCCAGTGAGGATCGCGCCCAAGACCCTCACCGGGACATGGCATCGGAAGAAACGGACGACAAGAAAGAGAGCACGTGGCTGGCGGGTCTACGTCGCTTTTCCACGCCGCTAGCAGGCGTCTCGATCCTCACGCGCGGTTCGGGTGGGGGCTCGACTACGGGCTTCAACATGCAGTCGCTCACCAAAGCACACACGGGCTTCGGCTTGTGGGTGTCGGCGGTGCTGCGGCGCATCATGGTGTTAGTGTACGGCAGCATGGGCGTGCACGAGGCGGCGTTCGATCTCATCAGTGCCGGCACCTCGTCGCGCGAGACGTTCATCTGCGGCGTGCTCATCGTGTCCAACACGGTCATCATCCAGCTCGCCGTGGTTTCGCTCATCGAGCCGCTCAAGGCGCCGCGGCTGCTGCAGGGCACCGAGGTGGCGGACGACTACCTCGACCCGGCGCTCAAGCGCGTGCCTGCGCTGCCTGGCTTGCCCGCGCTCGTCGGCGGCGTCAGCGGCGGCATCTCGGCAGTGGTGTGCAGCATGCTGGCGGCCCAACCGGCGGCAGAGTGTGCACGAGGGGGCAGGCGTGGGATGTTGCAGAGATGGAGGCGGAGGGTGTGGTGGGTGCCTGCGCTGCTGACGGCGTGTCTGGCCATCACGATTGTCGGCCTCGCGCTCGCTGTGGTGGCGAGCATCCTCGTGCCCACAGGCGACGGCGGGGTGTGGATGGTCTATGCGGCGACGGTGGTGTCGAGCGTAGGCAGCACGCCGCAGCTGCCGCTCGCGCTGCTGCAGATCTACACGGTCATGGACGCCGAGCGACCAGCTAGGCGTGCGACGAGCCCGACGGTGCGCAGGATTCGGTGGGAGCGGCTGGGCGCGATGATCTCGACGCTCACCACCATCGGCGCCTCCGAGCTGCTGACGGCGTGGGTGTTTCTCATGCCCGACGCCGCGCAAAAGGCGTTCCTATTCACCAGCGTGGCGCTCGCCGTGGGCGGAAGTGTATGGCTGATGCTCAGGCATACTCGAGCGTCGCGGGGAAATCGATCCAGAGCGCTGGGCGCCTGATTCAACAGACCTGTTCTTTCCTCGAGCTGTGCAATCGATCCATGGCACTTGCTGAGTGTGGTGTTCGGCGATGTGAGCACATGAAGCAGGTGTGACTGGTGAGGGCCAACTCAGTTATGGTTGTGGGGGCGATTTCGAGGCGGTTCAAAATGCGGGAGTCGGATGGTTGCCAACGCGTCTCTGCAAATGTGCCTCGCAAGCTGCAATGCCACTTTGCCCACGCACCACCACTGCGCTTCACCGTCATGGCACCTACAGCAACAGGACCGACCGCTGGGTCGAGCAACGCGTCGACATCCACGCCCGCCGCAGCAACCACTTCTACGCTGCCTACGAGCCTGGAAGAAGCCAACCAACGCTATACATCCACGAAGCTGGCGCTGCGCACGGGTCTGGCCAACAAGCGACTGATCGACCGATCGCTCATCGACCTCGAGTCGCAGATCTACCTGTTCGAGGGCTCGTACCTTCAATCCACGTCTACATCGGGCGGGAACATTGTGAAAGGGTTCGAATCGTACCTCAAAAATGCATCCACCAGCACGGGACGGGGCAGCCAAGCTGCTGCTGACATCCCGCTGGAAGACCGCATCTTTTCGCTCTCCTCGGCGACGTATGCCAAGAGCCTGGAGCTGAAAGCGAACGAGGCGTTTGAAGACGAAGAAGCGCCCAAGAAGCTCGAAGAACCCGCGGCTGTCAAGAAGAAGAAGGACAAGGAGAAGGATGCGACGCCTGCCAAGAAGGACAAGAAGAAGGACAAGGACGAGAGGGGCAAGGATAAGGAGAGGAGCGCTACGCCCAGTTTGAAGGCCAAGAGCGATGCGGCAGTGGTGACGCCTACAAAGACGACGGGTGGAAAGGCGCCGGCGACAGGACCCAAGCTGAAGCGCAAGAACGCCGACGGCGCCAGCACACCCGCTGCCACACCAGGCGGAAAGACGGCCACCAAACGCAAGAAGGAAGACGACTAACTATACCCTCCTCCTGTCTCCATTCTCACTCTCTCGTTGCCGAAATGTACTTGTACCGTGCACGCTTGAACTCGATACGATACAGAGTCGTGAGATTGCAACGAGTTGGGGGATAGAGTTGGTGGGGGGAATTAGTCGAAAGCGCCCGGCCTGTTGTTGAGTCTGTCGGTCCTGCGCTGATTGATCCAGGCCTTTTTGCACTCTCTGTACTGGTTGAAAGCGTCGGCGCACTTGGAGCGGTCGTAGGCATTGTCGTCGAGGCACTTCATCGAGAGCTTGGCGGCGTGTGCGCAGGGGTCCGTGTACTTGGACGGCGTCTTGTGCGACATGACCTGTACAAAGTCGCGCGGCTGACTCGGATCCGCCTGTGCCCCACCGGTACCGGAACGAGGCGATGAGTTGGAGAGATACGAAGAGGCGCCTGAACTCGACGCCTCTGCAGGCGTGGGCTTGTA